TAACAGAATTTCTAACGGATTTTTTTTTTTTTTTTTTTTTTGAAAATTGTTATATTTGTACCAAATGATGAGGGGTATTCAAAGTTCGGACCTGCGAACTTACAGCTTTTTTACTTGTAATTAATCCAAGATCTGGTTTGAATATGAAATATATATCGGTCCACTCCTTCTGGTACATCCCCCACAAAGGGTCAACATTTTGAATATTCATGAAGCTCATAAAACACGAAACTAACATCCGATTCCATTCAGATTTGGCACAACTAAATATTTCCATCAATGAAAGATCTTTTATAAATATGGTATAGGTCGGGCTATTTCTCCTGGTACGTCCCCCACATAGGGTTCAAGATTTTGAAAAACAAAACGCACAGGAAAGCGAAATAGGCATCCAACTCTCTTTAAATTTCACGCATCCAAATATTTTTGGTAACGTAAGATCTGTCGTGAAGATGATATACATCTGCCAACCCCTTTTGGTATCTCAACCACAAAGGGTCACAATTTCAAATACTTATATGAGTCATAACTTGCGAAATAACTATTTCCCTTAACCACATTTTGCGCATACCAATATTTTATCAGTTTTAGATGAAGTATGGAAGTGGAATACTTCGATCCGCTATATCTGTTGCATCACGTATATTTTCACATTTTCCAAAAATTTGGACATATCTCATATAAAGTATAGGATGTAGTCGATATAGTCCATATCTGGCACGTTGCAATATTTATATCAGACATAGGTCGAATTGGATGATATTGACCTTCGGAACCTCCTCCATAAAGTTTGGTAGACTTTTATCCTGGTGGCAGGTCCAATATCCATAGAAGATTTTTTCCCACTCGCTTTTACTCTCTTCGAATCCCTGTGCGCAAAAATACTCCTGCCGTTACAATAGTCCTTTTGTTCAACGCCATAATTTTATGGCCAGAATGGCGATGATGACGACGACTGATGAGGATATGCTGCCGGTATCCCTGAATGCCAAACAATTGTTTGAATTTACTTGCAACACATACAAACACAGACACACATACAAGGACTTTTACAGAGTCAATACAATACGCAGGCAGGATGGCAGTCAGGCAGACAGACAAATAAATAAATGCTTGTAAAAGTGCGCCATTTGCTCCACTGCGCCTTGGGTTGGTTGGATGGATGGATGAATGGATGTTACGACCACCGTTAGTGGTGGTCTTCAAGCCGCTTAGATGGCAAGGCTGGCTGGCTGGTTGGATGGTTAGTCGGTTGGCTGGTTCGATTTGCTTCAATTCCTTTTGGGGCGTTTGGTTGCCTGGCATAGACCTTTCTGAAGGCGGAATGGGGGTAGGAGGGAAGGAAGGAAGCCAAACAACAACATAACTGTCAAAAATGATATAATTTAATAAAGTTCACAGCAGGATATTGTCTTATTTCACAAATATATCCTTCATTTCCTCCTTCTCCAGCCCAAAGAAAAAAGAACGCTAAAAGCTGTCACATTACAGGGATCCCTGTTTTGTATCTTTGATGGGGGATTGGGAGGCCCATTTTCCACTTGGGCCATAAATTCCATTTTATTTTGCATTTTATATTCGACAAAAAATGTATTTGAGTGTCTGCCGAAAAAGCTGGGCCCATAAAACAATTCATTTGAAACATAAACAATTGTGTTCTCCTTCCTACCCAAAAAAAATAAGAAATACAAATGTACCTATTGTGACAGATCTGACATTTTCTTTTTTTTATTATTATAGTCTTGGCGAAATAAGTTGGCGATTTGACAAGAAATTTGGCAAAACAAAAGAAAAGAGTTGGCTGGATATCTGATTGAGTGAGAATTGAGAGCAAAGGACCTTTTAAAAAAAGATATCTACTTAAAGCGTTTTGTAGGCAGAAGACCTTTTACAGGTCTTCTAAGAGAAGACCTGCCTGTGGTCTTTCATGAGAAGACTTGCTTTTGTTCCTCTATGAGTAGAAGACCTCTTCTGGCCCTCTATGAGACACCCTCCACAGATCCGCTATGAGAAGACCTCCACAGGTCTTCTATGAGAAGACCTCCGCAGGTCTTCTATGAGAAGACCTCCGCAGCTCTTCTATGAGAAGACCTCCGCAGCTCTTCTATGAGAAGACCTCCGCAGCTCTTCTATGAGAAGACCTCCGCAGCTCTTCTATGAGAAGACCTCCGCAGCTCTTCTATGGGAAGACCTCCGCAGCTCTTCTATGAGAAGACCTCCGCACCTCTTCTATGAGAAGACCTCCACAGGTCCTCTATGAGAAGACCTCCACAGGTCCTCTATGAGAAGACCTCCACAGTCTATACAAGACCCATGTCCTCTATGAGAAGACCTCCACAGGTCTTCTATGAGAAGACCTCCACAGGTCTTCTATGAGAAGATCTCCACAGGTCTGCTATGAGAAGAAATCCACAGGTCTGCTATGAGAAGACCTTCACCTGGTCTTCAATGAGAAGACCTTCAGCTGGTCTTCAATGAGAAGACCTTCAGCTGGTCTTCAATGAGAAGAACTTCAGCTGGTCTTCAATGAGAAGACCTTCAGCTGGTCTTCAATGAGAAGACCTTCAGCTGGTCTTCAATGAGAAGACCTTCAGCTGGTCTTCAATGAGAAGACCTTCAGCTGGTCTTCAATGAGAAGACCTTCAGCTGGTCTTCAATGAGAAGACCTTCAGCTGGTCTTCAATGAGAAGACCTTCAGCTGGTCTTCAATGAGAAGACCTTCAGCTGGTCTTCAATGAGAAGACCTTCAGCTGGTCTTCAATGAGAAGACCTTCAGCTGGTCTTCAATGAGAAGACCTTCAGCTGGTCTTCAATGAGAAGACCTTCAGCTGGTCTTCAATGAGAAGACCTTCAGCTGGTCTTCAATGAGAAGACCTTCAGCTGGTCTTCTATGAGAAGACCTTAAGCTCTTCAATGAGAAGACCTTAAGCTCTTCAATGAGAAGACCTTAAGCCCTTCTATGAGAAGACCTTCAGCTGGTCTTCTATGAGAAGACCTTCAGCTGGTCTTCTATGAGAAGACCTTAAGCTCTTCTATGAGAAGACCTTAAGCTCTTCTATGAGAAGACCTTAAGCTCTTCTATGAGAAGACCTTAAGCTCTTCTATGAGAAGACCTTAAGCTCTTCTATGAGAAGACCTGCTTCTGGTCTTCTATGAGAAGACCTCCACAGGTCTTCTATGAGAAGACCTTCAGCTGGTCTTCTATGAGAAGACCTTAAGCTCTTCTATGAGAAGACCTTAAGCTCTTCTATGAGAAGACCTTAAGCTCTTCTATGAGAAGACCTTAAGCTCTTCTATGAGAAGACCTTAAGCTCTTCTATGAGAAGACCTTAAGCTCTTCTATGAGAAGACCTTAAGCTCTTCTATGAGAAGACCTTAAGCTCTTCTATGAGAAGACCTTAAGCTCTTCTATGAGAAGACCTGCTTCTGGTCTTCTATGAGAAGACCTCCACAGGTCTTCTATGAGAAGACCTCCACAGGTCTTCTATGAGAAGACCTCCACAGGTCTGCTATGAGAAGAAATCCACAGGTCTGCTATGAGAAGACCTTCAGCTGATCTTCAATGAGAAGACCTTCAGCTGGTCTTCAATGAGAAGACCTTCAGCTGGTCTTCAATGAGAAGACCTTCAGCTGGTCTTCAATGAGAAGACCTTCAGCTGGTCTTCAATGAGAAGACCTTCAGCTGGTCTTCAATGAGAAGACCTTCAGCTGGTCTTCAATGAGAAGACCTTCAGCTGGTCTTCTATGAGAAGACCTTAAGCTCTTCAAGGAGAAAACCTTCAGCTGGTCTTCTATGAGAAGACTTTAAGGTCTTCAATGAGAAGACCTTCAGCTGGTCTTCTATGAGAAGACCTTAAGCTCTTCAATGAGAAGACCTTAAGCTCTTCAATGAGAAGACCTTAAGCTCTTCAATGAGAAGACCTTAAGCTCTTCTATGAGAAGACCTTAAGCTCTTCTATGAGAAGACCTTAAGCTCTTCTATGAGAAGACCTTAAGCTCTTCTATGAGAAGACCTTAAGCTCTTCTATGAGAAGACCTTAAGCTCTTCTATGAGAAGACCTTAAGCTCTTCTATGAGAAGACCTTAAGCTCTTCTATGAGAAGCTCTTCAAAGAGAAGACCTTAAGCTCTTCAATGAGAAGACCTTAAGCTCTTCTATGAGAAGACCTTAAGCTCTTCTACGAGAAGACCTTAAGCTCTTCTATGAGAAGACATTAAGCTCTTCTACGAGAAGACCTTTCTCTGGTCTTCTATGAGAAGACCTGCTTCTGGTCTTCTATGAGAAGACCTTTTTTGGTCTTCTATGAGAAGACCTGCTTCAGCTCTTCTGTGAGAAGACCTGCTTCTGGTCTTCTATGAGAAGACTTGCTTCTGGTCTTCTATGAGAAGACCTGCTTCAGCTCTTCTGTGAGAAGACCTGCTTCTGGTCTTCTATGAGAAGACTTGCTTCTGGTCTTTAAGAAGACTATTTGTCTTTTATGTGAAAACCTCCTATTGATGCTTCTAAAAATATTCGGATGGCCTTTTCCCCGACAAGACCTTCAAATTTCCGTCTCATCCTAAAATTCCTTTTTCCATTGAATTCAAATCTTTAACATTTCTTCAATCAGGCATTTTATATTTTTGTTATCCTTAAGTCCTGTCAAACAAACTCTTAGCCTACATACAAGACAGCAGGCTATCCATTCTGACAGCTGCTTATCAGTAATTCAACAAATGCATAATTGCTGGGCCTGCCCATCCGACCCGACCGCCTTTCTGACTGGCTGATGTGCCTCTAAGCTGTGGATACCGAAATGCCAACATCATTGAAACTCAAAAACTCTCGACAGGATTAAGGAATCCGGCGAATGGCAGTTTTAGAAGAATTCGGTGCGGCAGGGCAGCGGTGGCATAAATATTTGTTTGCAAGATGTAGAAAATATACAACTAAGTGAGTAACCAACAACAACAACAACAAAGAGTTGTTTGGTTGGTTGGTTGGTCTGTGTCTTGACTTACCTTCGAGCTCTCGGTTTCTTGAGATTAAAGCCAATATCATTTCAGGATTTGGGTCATCCTGGTCGTTGGTGTTGCCATTGTTGCTAATCTCAGCAACGGACAAATGTTGACGATGTTGCTGGAGGCCAGCAATGCCACCACCTCCACTTCGGCTGTTGTTGCCATCGACCAAATCCAGAGCTGCTGCTGTTGTTGTTGCTGCTGATGAAACCGTTGTTGTTGAGTCATTTACTGCCATCGCCGAGGAGGAGGAACACGGGGAGCTGGCACATTGTAGCTGTGGACCACTGCCATTGCCCGGTATTAATGGCCCCGAACTATGGCCATTTGTGGGTGGTGGTAATAACAGCCTAGACGAATGCTGTTGCTGTAGCAGTTGTAGTTGTGTAGCCGGTGAGGTGGCCTCCGGAGGAGGTGGCAGGGGGGAATTTTGCAAATGCTGGGGAAGTGTAATATCCATGCCGTTGAGATGTGTTGGTGGACCACACAACAAACCCATGGGCTGCTGGCCAACCGACGGATGACCACTCTGGGGAGATACCATGTGGTGTGGCAGCATGGCCATGGCGGGTGTGGGAGGTGGCAATGACAACGGTGGTGGTGGTGGTGGCGGAGCAAGATGGCCATGTGCTTGGTGATGAAGGTGAGGAGGCGGTGGCGGATGATGATGATGATGTGGATGTGAATGTGTATGGCTGTGACTGTGGTGTAGCAATCCTGCCGATGTCGCTAAGGCCGGTGGAGGTGGCTTCAAAGTTTGCATCATTGCTAAACTCAGATGCATAAAGCCTCTGCGTGACAATCTGCGTTGCCCAAATAAACACACTTTTGTTGGATTTGGATGCCAAAGACGAGCGGAGAGTAGACGAGCAGGGAGTGAGGAGTTTTTTTCTTTTTAACGTTTTGTCGACGCATAAAATCCAAAACTGTCAATCACCCATCTCGGGCTTAGGCAGCCACCCTCCTTTTTCAGGGGTGAGAGTTGGGGAGAGGCGGGGGAGTGGGGTTTATTCGTTGTCACACTTTGACGCACTTTCTCTGTTGGATTTATCCATCAACTTTTGACGGCTTAATACAGACGTTGCTCGCTATAGCCTTTGACTTATATTTCATTTATAATAATTTTTTGTTGTTGTTGTTGATTTTTTTGGCGTTTGCTTCGGCTTATTTTTTGAGAACTGCGAGCTTGCTTTGCAACAATTTTGAAATTTTTATTTTTTTTTTCAATTTTTCAAACACTTCAATATTTTTTTTCACATTATTTTCATTTTAATTTTTGGTTTTATTTCGGATTTCCGATTTTGTTGGAAGTTTTTCCGGAATTGTATTTTAGGATTCGGAGACTATATATATCCTCTTGATACGAAAAAAAATTATTAAAATTAAATTGGACCTTATATTCCTATATAGGTCGGAGTAACTACCAATCTTAAGTCCTTTGTTCGCCTTATTAGAAGCCTTAATAGCTACCTCTACGAGGGGTTAATAAGCCCGATTTTTTTTTTAAACTCTTCAAAATTTTGAATTTCAATGCGCTATCAGAAGATCTCTCTCAAAATAACTCTTGAGTAATTTTCAGGTACATTCCAATATCGTTTTCCCCCGATTTTTTTTAATTCTAACAGAAACAAATCGACCATGGAATTAAAAATTAACCGATCAGGAGATTTACAGATTATTCCCAAAAATGATTCGACATTAATACCCACGAAAACGAACTAAAGACACAAATGCACCGGACGTCTTTTTTTCCTCGAACCTATTCCGATTTAAAGTTTTCGACAAAACTCAAAGCGTTAGAGTTAGTGGTCGTCGTTAGCGAAGTTTGAATGCAAACCACCAGACATTTTACGAAAAAATACTCGAGCGTTTCAACGTTGCAGTTACTGCCTTTGTCGTCGTTGACGTTTATCGGTTCGTAGGCCCATGCACCGACACTCAGACATGCATAGATCAAACACCGAGGCACAAAAGGTGTCAACCACACATTTTTTGTCGTCGTTCGCCAAGAAGCCGCAAAATACGATTGCAATTTTATCACAAATTTACGTATTTTGCCATTAGCCTTTGTTTGTTGTTGTTGTTATTTGCATTCTATTTTGCTCCCTAGGTTTGCTACGAGTGCATAGTTGTAAGTGCAGTTACGAAGTTTTGATTTAATGCTCCAAAAATAGGTAGAAGCACTGTGGTCTTAGAAAGGGGGAAGATAATAGACCACCAGGTCTAGGATCACCAAAGCTACCTTCTATGAGTCCAGAAATTGGCCGTCTGTAAGACATCCAAAGAGACCTTCCATAAGACCATCAAGTCCTCCTCTATGAGACCTCGACCACCAAGTGGTCTTCTATAAGGCCTCCAAAGATATTTTTTAAGGGTCCACCAAGTAGACTTCTATAAGACCTCCAAAGAGACTTTCTAAGGGTCCACCAAGTAGCCTTTCATAAGACCGCCAAGTGAATAAGACTTTCTTCTGAGAAGACATTTTTCTGGTCTTCTACGAAAAGACCAGCAAGTGGTCCTCTATGAGACTATCAAGCGGTCTTCTCTTAGAAGACCAAAAGGAAGTCTACTCATAGAAGTCCAAGTATTTTCTATAAGACTTCCAGATGGTACTCTATAAGACCCCCAAGGCCATTTGAAAGGCAACCAAGTGGTATTCTATTAGACCACCAGAGGGTCTTTTATAAAACCTCCAAGTGGTCTCTATAAGTCCATCAAATTGTCTTCTATAGCGCCGCCAATTGGCTTATAAACATACATATAAAACCACCAAGTGGTCTTCTATAAGGCCTCCAAAGAGACTTTCTATAAGACCACTAGATGGTCTTCTAAGGGTCCATCAAGTGGTCTTCTAAGACCACCAAGTGGAAAAGACTTTGTTCTGAGAAGAATTTCTTCTGGTCTTCTACGAAAAGACCCATTTGTGCTTTTTTGAGAAGACCAGCAGAAAGTCTTCTCATGGAAGACCAGAACGTATTTTCACAGAAGACCAGAAACAGGTATTCTCATAGAAGACCAAAAAAAAATTTCTCGTAGAAGACCTTAAAAAGATCTTCTCAAAGAAGATCAAATAAAAGCCTCCTCGTATGAGACCAGAAGAAGGTCTTCTCATGGAAGACCAGAACGTCTAATCATAGAAGAGCTGAAGGCCTTCTCTTAAATACCAGGAGAAAGTCTTCTCATAGAAGACCAAAAGAAATTCTCCTCATAGAACACCAGAAGAAGATCTTCTCATAGAAGACCAGAACAAAGTGTTCTCATATAACAACTGAAAGCATTCTCATAGAAAACCAGAAGAAGGTATTCTCAAAGAAGATCAGATTAAAGCCTCCTCGTATAAGATCGGAAGAAGGTCTTCTCATGGAAGACTTGAAGAAATTCTTATCATAGAAGACCAGAAGAAGGTCTTCTCATGGAAGATCAGAAGAAAGTGTTCTCATAGAAGAGCTGAAGGCCTTCTCATAGAAGACCAGAAGAAGATCTTCTCGTAGAAGATCAGATGAAAGCCTCCTCGTATTAGACCAGAAGAAGGTATTCTCATGGAAGACCAGAAGAACGTATTCTAATAGAAGACCAAAATAAATTCTTCTCGTAGAAGACCTGAAGAAAGTCTTGTCATAGAAGACCAGAAGACAAAATTCTCATAGAAGAGCAGAAGAAGGCCTTCTCATGGAAGATCAAAAGAAAATGCTCCCATAGAAGAGCCTTCTCATAGAAGACCAGAAGTAAATCTTCACATAGAAGACCAGAAGAAAGTCCTCTTAGAGAAGACCAAAAGAAAGTCTTCTCATAGAACACCCAAGAAAGTCATCTTCCAGACCTCTAAATAGTCTTCTATAAGACCACCAAGTGGTCTTACATAAGACCAAAAAGTGGTCTACTACAAGACCTCCAAAGAGACCTTCTATAATGTATTCTAAAATACCACCTGATTTCCAAAGACCTCCAAAGAGACCTTCTATAATGTATTCTAAGATACCACCTGATTTCCAAAGACCTGCAAAGATACTTTCTAAAAGACCACGAAGTGGTCTCCCATGAGACCACATTTGGACATCTGAAGGATCTCCAAAGATACCTTCTATGAGACCACCAAATTGTCTTGTATAGGACCTCCAAGTTGTCTTCTTAAACGCCACCAAATGGTCTTTTATCAGACATCCAAAGAGACTTCTTATAAGAGATCTTCAGGGATACCTTATCAAAGACCACAAAGTGGTCTTGTACGAGACCACCAGGGGGTCTCCTATAAAACCTCCAAATATGTCTCATATAAGACCACCCGTGGTCCTCTATAGGACTGCCAATTGGCTACCTTTAAGACCTCCCCAGATAAGACCTTCCTTATAAAAGGCCTCCAAAGAGACCTTCTATAAGACCACCAAACAGTCTTCTGTAAGATACCCTCTTCTATAAGACCACCAAGTGGTCTTACACAAGACCAAAAAGTGGTCTACTATAAGACCACCAAATTGTCTTCAATAAAACCTCCAAGTAGTCTTCTCGATTAGTCTTTTATCAGACTTCCAAAGAGACGTTCTAAAAGACCTCCAGGGAGACCATATGAGAACCCACTAAGTGGTCTTCTACAAGACCACTAGGGGGTCTCCTATACAACCTCTAAAGAGGTCTTATATAAGACTACCTAGTGGTCCTCTATAGGAACGCCAATTGGCCTTCTTTAAGACCTCTAAAGAGACCTTCTATAAAACCTCCAAATAGTCTTCTTTAAGACCTTCAATTGCTCTTTTTTTAAGTTCTAAAACAGACGACCAAGTGGTCTTCTTTAATACCATTGGTCTACCATGGTCTTGATCTGCAAAATTTCCAAAAAAATGTCCTGGCGCCCAACATGGTATTAATTTATTATTTAATGTGTGGAGGAGGTACTAGAATAAATGATCCGATCTTTACCATCTTTCTAAGAGATCTTGTGTTGATGAAAATATTTAGATGTGCCAAGTCTGAATGAAATCGGATGTCTATTTTCATAAGTATTCAAAATTTTGAACCTTTGTGGGGAAGGTTCCAGAAGGAGTAGACCGAGATATTCCATCTTTACAGCAGATCTTGAGTTAGTAGAAATAATGGAATGTGTGAAATTTGTAGAGAGCCGGTTGCTTATTTCTGATTTTGGTTATTCAAATCTTTGACCCTTTGTGGGGGAGGTACCAGAAGGAATGGTCCGATCTCTACTATATTTATAATAAATTCTATGTTGATCGAAATATTGAGATGTATCAAGTCTGGAATGGAATCGAATAAAAATTTGAATGGAATCGGATGTTAATTTAGAGTTTTATGAGCTGCATTGATATTCACTATTTTGACCCTTTAAGGTGGAGGTACTAGAATGATTACGCTGATATATTCCATCTTTAAGCCAGATAAGTGGTGTTAGCAGAAATTATAAGATGAGTGAAATTTTTAAGAGAACCATATACATATATCGGGTTTTATGCTCGTTCGTTTTTGTTATTCGAAACTTTGACCTTTTTTGTGGGGGAGGTACTAGAAGGAATATTCCGATCTCTATCATCTTTATAACAGATCTTGTGTTGATGGAAATATTTAGATGTGCCAAGTCTGAATGAAATCGGATGTTTATTTCGCGTTTTATGAGCTTTATAAATAATCAAAATTTTGACCCTTTTTAGAGGTCCAAAGGAGTGGACCGATATATACCATCTTCATATATATACATATATATACCATCTTCATATGTGTGAAAGATTAAGAGAACCGGATGCTTATTTCGGATTTTATACCAGGTTTTTTTATTCAAAACCTTGACCATTTGTGGGGGAGGTACCAGAAGAACTGGTCTGATCTCTATCATCTTTATAACAGATCTTATGTTGATCGAAATATTGAGATGTGCCAAGCCTGAATGAAATCGGATGTTAAATCTACTATTTAGGAGCTTCATTGCTATTAAAAATTTTGATCCTTTCTGGGAGAGGTACCAGAAGGAGTAGACCGATATAACCCATCTTCACACCAAACCTTGGGTTGATAAAAATATTGCGGTGTGTGTAAGTTTAAGACAATCGGACTCTTACATCACATTTTATAAAAGTTATAATTATTCCAAAATTTGACCCTTTGTGGGGAAGGTACCAGAAGGAGTGGTCCAATATTTTCCTTCGT